AAAAAAAAAAAGCACCCCGTGCCTCAGTTTCCCCTTTCTGTCAAATGCAGATGGACGCCCGCGTTGGTGCGGACCGGCTGTTCTCGCGAGGACTCGGGGAACGGCCACGGCGAGAGCACGGGGCGCCGGCTGTCACGACGGCCACCAAGGGAGGCCGGGCGCGGAGGCTCACGCCTGTCGTCCCGGCACTCGGGGAGGAGGCCGAGGAGGGAGGATCGCTCAATGGAGGCCAGGAGTTGGAGGCCAGCCTGAGCCAGAGCGAGACCCCGTCTCTACTGAAAAATAAAAATTATCTGGACAACTAAATAGAGAGAAAAAAGGAGCCGGGCGTGGTGGCGCACGCCTGGAGTCCCAGCCACTCGGGAGGGAGGCTGAGGTGGGAGGATCGCTTGATAGAGGTCAGGAGTTGGAGGCCAGCCTGAGCAAGAGCGAGACCCCGTCTCTACTAAAAAATAGAAAGAAATTAATTGGCCAACTAAAAATATATAGAAGAAAAAACGAGCCGGGCGTGGAGGCGCATGCCTGTAGTCCCAGCTACACGCGGTGAGGGGACGGAGGAGAGGAAGAGGGACAGCGGGGACAGGGAGGACAGACGGGGGAGGGAGGAGAGAAAAGGGAGGATGGGGAGGACAGGGAGGGAGAGGAAGGAACAGACAGGAGACAGGACAGAGGGGACAGACGGTGGGGAGAGGGAGAAAAGGGGGAGGGGATGGGGAGGGGACCAAGGAGGAGGAGAAGGGGAGGGACAGAGACAGGAGGACAGGACAGGGGAGGGGACAGTGGGAGACGGGGGTCGGGAGGGGGAGGGAGAAAAGGAGGGATGGGGGAGACAAGGGAGGGACCGAGGAAGGGGAGGGACAGACAGGAGACAGCACAGGAGACAGACGGGGAGAGGAGAAAAGGAGGATGGGGAGACAAGAGGGAGAGAAGAGCAGACAGGAGGGGACAGGGGACAGGTGGAGGGGACAAGGGGAGGACAGGAGGGAGAAAAGGGGAGGGATGGAGGGACAAGGGAGGGAGAGAAGGGGAGACAGATGGGGAACAGGGGACGAAAGGGGGAGAGGTGGACAGGGAGAACAGAAGGAGGATAGGGGAGTGGGACAGAGGGGACAAGGAAGGGAGTGGACAGGGCAAGGGGAGGACAGGAGGGATGGGGACAACGGGGAGGACAGGGGGGTATGGCAGTGGACAAGGTAGGGGGGACCAGGGAGGGACAAGGAGGGAGGGATGGGGACAGAGATGTATATAAGGAGTTGTTGGGGAGGGTATGGGAATCATATTAAGGTGAGGACGGGCCAGGGGAGGGTATAGGAGGAGGAGAGAAGAGGGAGGGGAATCAGGGAGGACAGCGGGGACAAGGGGGAGGACAGGGGGACAAGGGGTGAGACGGGAGGGAATAAGAGACGGGCAGGGAGGGACAGGGGGAGACAGGAGGAGGGAGAGAAGAGGTGACCAGGGGAGACAGGGGGACACAGGGGAGGGGACAGGGACAAGGAGGGGATGGGCGACAGGGGACAAGGGGAGGGATGAGAAGGGAGGAGGGGGAGACCGGGGAGGGGGATGGAGGACAGGGGGAGGGGGACAGGGGGGATGGGCAGGGGA